AAGTAAAACAAAAATGAAAAAAAAACAATTAAGTTGCTATGGATACATAACTTTTTTTGTTTTCACTTTTGTTTGTTCAGCTAAGATATATCTAATAGAAACAACAATAAGACAATTTTTTTTAAACCAAAAATAGTATTTATTTCATCTCACATTTTTTTACAATCCCATGGACATAATTAAAAGCAATAAAGCTTAATCATATTACTTATTTTTAAAAACAAAAAAAAAATACTGAATTAACTTACATATTTTTAACTACCAATCCTATCAATAATTATCTTAATTTTTTTTTATACTAAATCGACTTTAATCATTACCATTTTCTTTCATATCAATTCACAATCTCAAATTTATCTCATGTTTACTAAAATAAAATTTTTCCACTTTTTTACTCTCAGTCAGAGCATGAGACACCTCTTTCTATAAAATCTTATATCCATAATCTCATTAATGACAAGTTTTGATATAAATATACATATTATGAAGCTTTTTTGGACTGACATTTATGGCAACCCATTTGACACACATACACACAATAGAAATGAAAACGATCGGAAACGATCGGCATAGGGCTCAACCATTTTCACTTTCATATTTTTTTCTCAAAAACGAAAATGATACGGTAATGTCGGAAACGAAAACGACATCGGTATTCCGGTAATATTGAAAACGAAACTATCCGATCGAAAATACATCGATAACGATCGAAATATATTAAAACAGTATTTAAAAAATGATAAACACACCACATTATAAAATATAGCATTAAAACATTAATTGAAATATTCTCATGGCATAATAGTAGCAAAATCCAAATTAAAATCCACACCATTTGCTATAACAAAATCCATACAAATTCCAATAACTAGCAATTGAATTGTGACTTGTCCACCAAAGTGGGGTAGGCGGCGGCAGCTGGAGCCTGTAGCGGCTGGTGCGATTGCGACGTTGATGGGAGTGGGGCGCGGCAGCGACGAGCAGGTGACGGGAGTGACGACGAGCAGGCGTGGCGAATTGCGATGGCCGTCGGCCGATGGAAGAGATGACAGACTCCTAGACGAGACTCGAGAGTGAAGACCGAACGGGATGAAGGGATTTGGGCACTGTAGATGCGGTTGCGACGGTGATGGGAGTGGGGCGCGGCGGCGACGAGCAAGTGACAGGAGTGGCAACGAGCAGACGACGAGCAGATGGGAGAGACGACAGACTCCCAGACGAGACTCGAGGGTGAAGATCGAAAGAGATGAAGGGGATTTCAGGATTTGGGCACTGTAGAAGGGTTGGGCTAAAGGAGATTTGGGCATTTGGCCCATTTGGGATTTGGATTGGGCTTTATAATTAAAAGTGAGCCTAGTATGGGTTGGGTCGGTATTACCAACGGTAAAATACCGTTTAAATACGGTAATTTTCGAAAATGATCGAAAAAGGGCTAAACCGTTTTTGTTTTCATTTTCGAATTTTTTTACCGTTTCCATTTCCGTTTTTCCGGTTACCGTTTCCGTTTCCGTTTAGCCTCCAAATCCAAAAATATTTCGAAAACGATTCCCGGTAATCGGAAATTACCGTTTCCATTTTCATCCCTAACACACAAAGACCTATTATTATCTTCCCATAATAATTCAACAAATTAAAAGCAGTGGATGATAATTTTTGGCATATAAAGTTAGTGGACAAATTAAGTAATTTAGGCGATTTGGCTAAATTAAATAATAAGTACTAATATGATAAATGTTATGGTCTCGTTACGGAATCATTATGTCGGGATTTGATAACCGTTAGATCAAATATTCCCGACAGTACATAATGATCTAAAAATTACAAATTCCAACGAAATGATTCCGTAACAGGACGTAGCATGAACACATGATAGGACTCACAATATAAATGGAAAAAAAAGACATACAATAAAAAGGAGTGGCAAAAAGGACTGTGGTCCCACGTGGCAGTCCCCAGTTTCTTTTTAATTTATTGCTTAAAAAAAAACATAAAACAAACCGCTGAGTTTTCGACTTCTCATTGGCTACTCATCGTACGTCA